TTATCCATGGAAAAGTTATTACATGAATTTACATTCATTTCTCTCTAAATCTTTGAAAAAGTGACATATGAATGTTGTCGTGCTTTTTTGTTCATTTGATAATGCTAAATGTAGCAAAACTGCGCAGGATTTTAGAACGTGCGACATTTTACAAACGGCGCCCCATAATTTAGTCAGTTACACCTGCTCTGTTAGCCTAGCTGTAGCTAGCCAGCAGCCTAGTATGTGCTCCAACTCTCAGTTTGTTAATGAATGGAGTCGAAATGTAACATTGCAAATGTTGAAAACGTGCAGACGCGTCTTTACCGTTATTTGTGCTAACTAGATCACAAAGGTTTCTGAAGAAAGTATCCACCCTCATCTTTGCGTTTACTTTATATGCAGTTTCTCTCAATGTCAATTTGTGGCCAGTCAATAAATAGCAATAAAAAGACTGTGTTCCGCTTTGCCCGGCTTTTGAGCGATCCAGTGATGTTGTAATGACGCCTACGTGCTTGTGTGTTGCCTCCCTTGTTTGTGGTACTCGGACTGTGCGCGCCCTCCCTTTTGCCTCTCTGCAGATGTACGTGACGCTGGTGTTCAAAACCAAGGGTACGCGGCTGACCAAGCCCACCATCAGCCTCACCCTGCTCTGCCTGGCCATGCTGGTAGGCGTGGTGAGGGTGGCCGAGTACCGCAACCACTGGGCCGACGTCCTGGCCGGATTTTTCACGGGGGGAGCCATCGCTGTGTTTTTGGTGAGCGGGAAGTCACCTTCCATGACAGGAAGTCATTCGCCGAAGCCGGTTTATTGCTCGCAATTCAATCCAATTTTTAAACGACTGGTATTTGGAGTTACGCAGACAAAAAGGGACTTTTGTCCAATTGTTGTGCGAGTTTGGCCGGATTTGCCGCAGCATTACCGCCCTTGAACTAACTTAAAAGCAATATTTTGTCCAAATTTGGATTACAGATTCTTATATATTAGCATCTTGTCTGTTCCCCCTCTTAACATGTAGTTTAGCATGACTAGCTAATGTTTGGCTTGTTAGAGCCTGTTCAATGATGTCTATGATCAAACTATGATTGGACCATGCCAATGAAGGCAGTGGGGTCACATCTCACCACATCCCTCTTTCTTCTTCCCTCCAACCTCCTCGCCTGGTCTCCGTCTCCTCCAGGTGACCTGCGTGATCAACAACTTCCAGCAGATTCTGCCGAATCTTCCTCCTCCGCGGCCCCAGCGCCCCGAGTCCGTGCTGGGCATGCCGATGGTGACGCTGCCCTGTGTGGAGAGTCCACTCGAAAAGTTAAGTGGCCCTCAGGTAAGGGGCGGGGGTGGGTGAGTGGCACGCCTGCGCTCACTAAAGAGGGGCTGAGATGCATAAACCGTACCTTGAATTTGTATACCCTCCCCCACCCCCCGAAAATGAGATCAAATCCCAAACATGCATGCTCCAAGTCCCCCCTGCACCCCGTGTACCAAAGGAAACGCCCGAGTGAATCCTCTTCGTCTCGGAGCCTTGTCGGAGGCCGATCACATTTGTTCTACCGGTGGGAAGTGAGCCGCGGTTTTATTTCAGTCAAATGTTTGCGTCGGAAAAAAGAGGCGCTGCTGAGCGTCACACAGTTCCGTCCTATCGGGGGTTTAGAGAGCCACTTGTCTCTTTGGAGGGACTAAGCGGTTTGGCTGACACACTCGAAGTGTAATCTAGCAGTCTGATGTATGCAAATGGGACACTGTGAATTGAGCTGAAGTTCCCCCTCGACAGCTTGTCGGTGCCGTTGCGTCCCCGAAAAAGATTTTATCTGGTGAGCGCCGAGTACCACCAGATAAAATCAACCAGTACACCAGTATGCGGATGTCTCGCGTCCTGTGGTTCGTCTCCGTCACTAACCCTCGCCTGACTGCCTCTTTTCCTCCTGTCTCCCACCTTGTCTCTCTCCTCTCAATCTGCTCCCTTGTCCCTCACTCTCCTCCAGCATCCCGCACTCTCCTCCTCGCCGCCTTACAACGCCTACCAACCATTCTAACCAACCTTGAACTCTTTTATCCACCTCGCCATCGCCCCTCCACACTACCTTTGTCATCTGTCGTCTTATTTCTGTTTCCTGCTCTGTTTTCGCCCGTGCCCCCTCCCGGCCCCCCGGCCCGTTACCCACCTCCCCCTCCTCATCAAGCGCATCGCCCTTGATTATTTTTTTCTTCACTTTTCTCCTTCTGCCCCATCCTTCCTTCTCTCTCCTCTCTTTCCCCTGCAGACTCCGCGGGGATCTCCGTTCACCGAGATCACATGACCATCAGCCCTATCGGTTCCCCGCCACCCCCGATGTCCTCATAGCGTCTCGCTCCATTTCCAGCGAAGTCTAGACCAGTCGGAGCAGCACTCGCCGCACTGCGCCGCCCACCCGGCCGGGCGGTACGCGACGCTGCACCGCTCCTATTCCACGCAGGTCTAGACCTCCCCCTCCATCCAGCTCACACACACACACACATTCACATCGCCCTGCCGCCCTTTTAAACTCCCGGGGAACCGATAGGAAAGACTTCTCTCTCTCTCTCTGCTGGACATTCAGTACAGAGTTTATGCCTACTTTTCTTTGTGAAAAAGACTTTTTGTATGAACTCGTCGTGTGACTCTGCTGTCTGCGGTCAGGATGGGACGTGTCGGACCAAACAAACCTACTGAAGGACGCGTGTGCTGCTGAGATTTACCCTTCAAAACATCCTCTCAGCAAGACACACAGGAACACACTCGCACAGCAGTGTGAGCAGTGCTCCGTACGCGATTCACACAGATCAAAGAATCCATTTCATGTCTCTCAGCAGAAGCACCTGACAATAGCAAACAGGATGAAAGTACAGCTAAAAACCTCTATTTGCTATTTCCCTTTTTTTCGTTTTAGATGGTTGCAGCTTTGCCAAAAAAAGGTAAAAGAAACCTGATGGGAAATGCAAACACATTTGATAAGACAAAGCCAAGCTCCCGATTGCAGGATGGCATTAAAGAGCATCACATTTTTGTTTTGTATTCTTCTGAGGAGCTTTAAACAAAAAAAACACCTCCTGCAACGCCACAACACATTTGGCTCTTGGTTTTATTTCCCCCCTCGCACGGCATCAATCACCCTGAACTGGACTTTTTGTTGTGACTATTGTGATCAATTTTATTAACAGATTTATTTATTGGCGTGTACATACTGTGTGGTTGCAGTGAGCGCTCCATGTGGCGTAACAGTTTTGCTGACCTTGATTTTGCACACTTCCTTCAATCCAAGTGTTTTTTTTCTAGTTTTTTTGTATTTTTTTTTATTCCCCCTTTTGCCAACACATCTTTTTTTAAAACCTCTGTTTAGCACCTTCTCCTGGTGGTATGTGACTATGAAACCATCGCTGTGCTGTGAAATGTTTCCCTCTGCTGGACGACACACACACATACACACCTACACGAACACACACACACACTCAACACTAGTACAGCATCACTAAGCACAATTCAAACACCTTCACAACACGTGGTTGTTGCTGAACGTCCCCATCCCATCAATAACATTTCTTATTCTGAAACCTGTTTGTATGATATTGTACATAAATCTTTTCGTATTGAGAGTGGGATTTTTACACAAGCATCACCAACACTGAGTCTGGGGATTTTGGGGGGTTTACGTATTGCGATGACAGAGGACTGTGTGTGTGCGACTCAAATCCTTTAGTTTATCAGTGTTCGTGAGGTTGTGAACTCAAAGCCCTTTTCATTGTCACGTGAGCACAAACGGTGGACGTGAACACCTTTTCACGTCTTATCCTAACAGCAGTGCGACATGTTGAAGCAGCACTTAGTTTATATCCAGCGATTCGACCAAGAAAAGTATCTGTTTCTTTATCTGATAAATAAAAGTGTGTTATGAGCCGCTGCTATTTCTGTCCCGAGCAGTCTTGGGACAGCGTGAGTGCATTCTCCTTTAATGTCGGGCCCAAAACTAAAGCACTGTGTTTCCACGGTTACAGCTTGCATGTGACGTGAATAACAAACCCAACGTTTCTATTTATTTAACTGTACTATTTTTCACTCAAAGTCTCTCAAAGCCCCATGTCAATGAGGCCAAATGGATTGCAGCATGACGTCCCTTTGTGGCATCACCCCCCCCCCCACACACACACACACACACACACACTTTCCCTTTTGCTTTCCAGCCCTCGGTATTCCGATGAAGCAAAAATGCCTTAACAACAATCCCAATGAAAGTCACCGGATCATTAAGTACGTTACATTGACAGCTTACAGATGTGTGTCCGACTGGGCGAGGCCTCAGGAGAGCAGAGGTGGCATCAGATGCCAAAACGGACAAAAGGATTCTAATTGTGTTCAGGTTGCAATAACGTTCCTCCCGCAGGCTTTCCTTTCCTCTGAAGTTTGCCGGGACTCGTGTTTTACATCAAAGAACAAACGCGCTGCGGTTGACTGACGTGAGATAAAAAGAGAAGTTAAAAGCACCAGACTCCTTTCGGATCTGCGACTCTGAGGGAGAAACACGTTTCCTTTGATCCTGTTGCAGCAAACCCTTTTTGTTTTGTAAAGATTTGTGTTGCGAGAACAATAAATGGATACTGCAATAAGAAACGCTATCAGCGAGCACCATATGTTCTGTTAAGGTATTAATGCAGGTTTTTGGTGGTTTTGTAAGGAGTGGATTAGAAGAGATGTTAAAATCAATTGTCAATGTTTTTGGCCAATCAGAACGCAGGTTCATCACGACTTGCAGCATCAGACTGCTTGTTTCTTTATTTAAGTTCAAGCATTCTGTATTTGTATGATATACTTTGCCAATTCTGCACGATTACAAGATGCTTGTTGCATTATGGGAAGGACCCAGTATTTTTATTATCTTGGCCTACAAAAAATCCGACATATCCGTGCACCATCGGTTTGATCATTTCAACGGTCCTCCCGCTCCTTACATGGTTGCAATACTAATCACAAGATCCGCTCACTAGTTCAACTGTCTTCCTCCCCCGTATGAAGACCGTTCTTCCACTTTTAGGTCATGTGATTACACCTTGGGCCATCCGGATGACAAGTTTACAAATTCTATCCACTGATGAAGAACGTGGGATTCCAAACAAATCCAGTAAGTGACTGTGGAAGACTATTCTAATCAGAACTATGTTACTGTTATTATGATGTATTTGTACCTATTTCCGGTGATGGATTGAACACTCATATCCTGTGCGTAAGTAAATGTACTAAAACAACACTGTGAAAATGCTCCAGTGCAAATCTGCATTTAATATCCCGCCTGAATAGCGGGGTAGCTTGGTCCAGGGGGGGCCACCGGGGGTCTGTCCCCTCCAAACACTCACCAGATAAACCTCAATGGTCGTGAATGATTAACTGAAGTTGAAATCATTTCTTTTTTGTGAAACATTTGATACATTTACCTTTTGGGTTTATCATTCAAATGAAACCGCTTGAGACGTTAGAAGTATTAAATCTATGCTGGAGGTGGAACTTGACAACTTGACTCATGACAAAGGAACCTCAAACTGCCACAAAGGTGAGCCCTGATTTAACAGCTGGAGTAAAAGGAATGTACACAAGTACCTCAACATGTGTTCAGTTAGTACATTTGTTGAGTAACTACTTTCCACTACTTTCATCCACAGCTGGCTGAATTTGCAGTGCATGAAGTGCGTTTGGGGTGTCAACCCCATGTGTGAGGTTAAAGCTGTAGTCCTCTGCCCTGTTATTAGTTCAGCACTGCCATCCTGTGGCTTACTGTGTTCTTACCCACCACAGAGGGATCTGAATCGTTTGTTCTAAAGTGCAAATACGGGGGGAGGTTTTTAATATCGCAGCATGTTGAAAGGTTAACTCTCCTTTGGGGATCATTAAAAGAAATTGAATTGTAATTTACGCAGGTTGGAATAACGAGATGAAACCAATTCACATGGAATTTAAAAGATAAAAAAGGCAACATTCCCTCTCAATATTCTGTCTGCTGACTCTAACACACACCGCTTGGTAGGAACGTGCACATAACTCCTCCTGTCATGGGTATGCATTTGCAGGTTGAATCCACAAGATGGCAATGCACATCATAGACATGCACTTGTTTTCAAAGGGGAGCTACGGAGACACAATCCCAACCATGCACCCATCTTTGCCGAACAGCAGAGAGAATTCTCTGGCTGTGTCATGAAACAAAGGGGAGCGATCATAGCAGTCAATGAGAAGATCATCACCTGTGTAACGATAAAGAGAATCAACAAGCTGCCTCTTTTTTACTTATACAGCTCTGCAACCTCCATTCTGGATGCTTGATTTCTTTGGGTGTTTTTTTTGGAATGTGCAGCCATAAAACTCTAGTAAGAGAATAACAGGAATGACTGATGGAAACCTTGCAGTACAGCTGACACTAATTGCAGACTTTCTGCACCATTCTGCAGACTTTCGAGAAAGGCACCTGCATTTCCTGAAAAACAACTCTGCTTGACTCAATTGAAACGACCGCCAAACATCCCAGTTAGGGATGTTTAAAGCATAATGCTGTTTGAATTCCCACCGGCAGCGTCTTTCTGCTCCTTGTCCTTCTTTTTTCTCGCTCATGCAGGCCTTCAATAGTGTGGGCAGCACAACTCTTTCTGTTAGTTTGTTGAGAATTTTAATTCTTTCTGGTGATTTACGGTTATTGAATTTTTCAACCAGCACGGTGGCTGTGAAGATGAACGTTATCAGTGCGACCGAACGATACCATAGCTGAGTGCTGAGGGATTTGACTGAGCGTGAATGAAGGTGCATGTGAGGGGAAGAAGCCACAAGGGGGAAAAAGCACCAGAGGATGAGATGGAAGTGATATTTCTTTGAGAGTAATCATATTCTGCCTCTGAGAAAAGACTGTGATATCAGACATTTTCATTTTGGAAAGAGCATTACAGTGAGTGGTGTATAATTCAGCGTTTTATTAGAGAACAATAAAGATAAAGCACCATTAAAGGGAGATAGTAACGTATCAAGAGCAAAAGTGTATGAAATACATTCAATTGTTGTTTTTTCTGCTCGCAAGCTGTGATTGTTAGCATGTCCGGCTCACTAGCTGACACATAAGATGAGATAATATTTCTATCTTGCAAACCACAAATTAATTTTAAATTACAACTTACATTACAGCATTTGAAAAAAATACATATATTTTTTAGGTGTCTCAGTTCTTACTCCGGCAACCTCGGCACAACACCTACATACTGGCGTTTTTGTAAGATCTTATATTTATTAACAGTATATTGTTTAGTTATTTCTTCCCAATCGATCATTAGCCACGATGTGCTCAATGACTTTATTATCAGTCGCTTCAATTTGTATGATTCTTTTGTAATATGTGTTTTAAACAAGACAGGTGGCAAAAAAAAATCTAATTAAGAGTTAGTTTGAGAAAGCGGCTAATTTAGCGTTAGCTTAGTTAGCCCACTAGCTCGCTAGCTATAGCTGATAAAGCCTGCTAACATACAACTGAGGTTGAATTCGACCAGTAAAAAATGTACCTCCTAACATCTATTCCTAAGAGCTTTTCCTTGACCTTTGTGGAAAACGTCGGTCAAGGAAAGCGAGTTCATGAGGATAAAGCTACGTGGTTATGATGCCACAGGTCAGTGACAACTTATGGCGCGTTTCCACCGAGCGGTACGGTACGGGTCGGGTCGGTACGGGTCGGGTCTGTTAACCATGATTTGGCGAGCGTTTCCACCGCCAACAGTACCCTTACTTGATAGGCGTGGTGTATTCCAGAAAGTAGTGATAACGTCACTTGATAGGCGTGGTGTATGACGGAAAGTAGATTGACGTCATTCGATCGCGTGAAAACTGAAGGCTAACCGCAAACAACGGTACGGTTCGGATTTTTGGTACCATTCTCAACTTTTGGCTGTGGAGACACAAATAAAAGGGTACCGACCCGCACCGTACCGTACCGCTCGGTGGAAACGAGCCATTAGTGACCTCAGTCTGCAGTGGCGAAATTTAAATATTGCGAAAAGGACTATTTGAAACCAGCCCGAGTGCACCCAGTTCAAACAAATGGTCTGCTTTTGTATAGCTCAAAAAAAAAATTCAATCTCTAATGTAGTTTTCGAACTCAATTCATATTCTCATTCCTCTCTGGGTTTTAATTTCTTTACAGCACTGCAAGCAAGCAGCAAGAACGCAGAAAATCTATAATAACCAGCCAGCGGGGGCCTTCCCACCCAAATCTCAAACCCCAGCCCCACTCCGTCTCATCTGCTGTCTGCCTCTGTGGGGAGACGGGACCTGTTTCCAGAAGCAGGTGCTGAGGGTCCGGGGCCCATCAGTTTCCCCTGACAGTCTGGAGCCGAGGCGCAGTCAGCTGAGGCGCTCCACCGAGGAAGTCGCACATGTCATCATCGTGGTTAAGTGGAGGAGAGGAAGGGGAGACGAGCCGGATGAGTCATGATGGGACAGACAGAGACGTGGAAGAGACGGGTGGGGGAGGAGGGAGGGAGAGTGTGTGTGTGTGTGTGTGTGTGTGTGTTTTCCTGTTCTGCATTTGTAGAGAAAGGAAGCTACACAGCAAGTAGAGTAACTTATGCTCCACACACACACACACACACACACACACACACGCACACATACATGCACACATACATGCACACATACATCCACAGACACCAGATGTCAGCACAATATTAATTTAGATAAATTCTAATTGTTCAGGCAGAACTACGTACGGGCTGACTCAAAGAAAATACACATGACCGTAAGTTATTGATTTTGTGTTATGTGCAGAGGGCGTGAAATAAATTGAAAGTGTTACCACGGCGTCAAGCCGACAGGAACATAATGTCCACACTTAAATGGCCCCCGCCGGAACATGACTAGCAATTACAGATGCCCGTCGAAAAATGCACGAAGATTCAATCAGGCAAAGTTGAGAACTCGTTTCTCCGTGGGGGGGTTAATTAGTATATTTGGCTTTAACCAAGCGTGCAGGATGTTGGAGGGTTGAGGAACAATGCTTGTTTAGCTACACAGGGCGGCGTGTGCGCAGATAATGTCTGCATTAACTATTGATGCGCTCGCACACAGATAGCCCCCCCGTAAGCCCCCCGGCGTGTGTGGTGCTGCATTCCCTGCACTTCTACTCCTGTCTCCTCTCACTCCAACTCGTCTCCTTTTTATCCGAGCATCGGGTGGGTGGGTTGGAGGGATCTGCACCCCCACCAACCCCCTCCTCGGTTTTTCACGCCTGCACCCTGCTCTCTCCTCCCCTCTCGCAATCTACTTCCCGAGTCTTCATTCCCCAATTCTCTCTTTCACTTGAGCGTAAGCACAAGGAACGCACCACTCTCCCATCCTCCCTTCCAGGCCCCCACCCCCACCCCCCCTTCCAGCCCCCCCCCTTCCACACAGCCCTTCACTCCTTGCATTATCTGTCCCGGAAATTGCATTTCCAGCACAGCCAGGGCCCCATTATGAAGAGGGAGCAACATGCTGTAACCTTTTTAAAAAAACATTAGTGATGTGCCTGCCCCCACCCCCTCTCCCCCCTTGCAGCACCCCACCCCTCAGATCCCCCGCCGGCCCTCACCCTTCATACATGCTTCACCCTTCTCAC